GGGAGATTGTTGCGGATCTGTTTTTATGGATTATGATTTTGATGATAGCAAATACTCTTATTTCTCTACGACTGCCTTATCTACTGACATTTTAGGTCCACAAGATCAGACTGCAATTGGGAACCAGCTCAAGACTTAGTAACTAGGTTTGAGTCAGCTTGTACCCTTTTTCCTTTCGTGAGTCTATTGTAATTGGTGTGGCTCCTAACACTATGTAACTTTGCACACACATACCTTGGAAGATTTTATGTCTGTTCCCTAGAGTTTACTGCTTTTGATAACATCGTCCGGGATGATATTTATATCGGCCTCGACGATCGGTTCAAAAACAGAAACCCTAATTAAGGCATCATCCTCATTAAGGCAGCGATCATTAAGCCGATCGGCTTGGATGATCCTTGTATCGGCTAGGACGATAGGCTCAAATCAGAAAGAATTAGCCGCCATGATCAATTTAGGTATTCTTTATTTCAGGACATCGGCCAGGACGATATATACATCGGCCTGGACGATGCAGCACAATTATGGCTAAATTAATCTGGTAATGGAAAGCAATTAAGGCTAATTGATACGATCACATCGGCCGGGCCGATCGAAGGATCGGCCGGGACGATGTCCTGGACGATTAACATCGGCCAGACTATTCCGGGCGATGATCAAGAAGATTGTCCTCGGATTTGAACTAATCGGTCAGGACAATATTGTATCAGCATGAATGATGTAACCAATTTTCTTTTGATCGTCCCAAATCGTCTCGGCTGATTGAGCTTATTTTGTACTGATCGGCCAGGACGATATTCATATCGGCCTGGATGATAAAGTCGGCAAGTTACATTAATGAGCTCATTTTGAGATCTTCTATTTAAACTTTTGACAAGGCACTTTTGTAAGGGTCTTTGGCAACTATTGTAGCTTCGTTCTTTTGGGGGAAACTTAAAAAGGGAGCTTGAAAGAGAGTGAGGAAAGGGTGAAGTTTGAGAGGAAGAAGATCCTGTGAGGGGGGATTCCACACGGTTGCTCCAGCAGGCTTACACCTTAGTACCGTCGGATTCAAGGCTTGTCTTGAGGGAAGTTCACAGAAGAAGAAGATCTCTTTGGTGTCAAAGGACCCGGCGACTCTACCGCACCGGGGAAGATAGAAGTGATTTTGTAAGGGCTGTTCTGCCTAGCTGTGGGGGCTAAAGGACAGACACTTAGTTTAGTGCAATACTCAGAGGGTGCCTCCGAGGAGTGGACGTAGGTCAAGGTTTGACCGAACCACTATAAATCTGGTGTGTTCTTTTCTTTATTATTTCTGCATTTAATTTCCGCATTGTATTTTCTTTGTGGGGAATTTTGGTTTGATTTGAGTTTTGTTTTAAAGATATTTAAAATACCAATTCACCTCTCTCTTAATTAGCCTTGGGCTATTTCATAAGGGGCCTAACATCCCTAACAAACTTTCAGGATAGTGGTAAAGGTCAAGGCAAATTATTCTGCAAATGTATCTGCAGAAGAATGTCAATTAGATTCTCTAATTTTATCTCTGGATAATTTTAAATCTTGGGTGATTATTAAAGTGCTTCTTTTCATGCAAGTTCTAACAAGGAGGCATTCAAGAATAATACTCAAGGTGATTTGGGTAAAGTGTATCTTGGGGACAACAAGCCCAACAACATTATTGAATAGGGAGATGTTGATATCAAAATGTCAGATGGGTTAATTTGGAGACTCAAGAATGTTAGGCATATTCCTTGTTTGAAGAGGAGTTAGTTTCTATGAGGCAGCTTGCAAATTTAAGCCATGTGACATCATTCACAAGAAATACGTGGAAGGTGACAAAAGGGTTATTGTTATAGCTCGTGGCAGTATTGAATGCACACTGTATGTTATCAATAGTATATCAAATTCTATTAGAGTAGTAGATTCAGATGTTCATGGAGGACTGTAATAGATTCAGATATTGATGGAGGACTTTGGCATCGAAGTCTTGGTCATATGAGTAAGAAAGATATACATTCACTTCTTACTAGAGGAAAGCTTCATGATTTAAAATCTATAGATTTAGATTTTTGTGAAGCAGTGTATATGGAAAGCAACATAGGGTGAGTTTTCTAAATATTGGTTCAAAGATCAAGCCAAAGAAGTTGGAGTTATTGCATACTGATGTATGTGCTCCTACTCCAATTACTTCTATAAGAGGATCTTTGTATTTTGACACATTTATTGATGATCACAATAGGAAGGTAGGGCTGCACTTCTTAAAATACAAGTCAGATGGGTTTGAAGCCCTTAAGAAGCGGATGGCCATAGTTGAGCTAGAGACAGGTTTGAAGCTAAAGTCTCTCAGATCAGATAATGGTGCCAAGTATAGTGATAAAAAAGTTTAAGAAGTATTGTACTTTGAAAAGGATCAGGCATGAGTTCACTGTTCCAAAAACACAACATCAGAATGGTGTTGCAGAACACATAAATGAATTATCACTGAGAGTGCCAGGAGCATGAGGTTACATGCACGTCTACCCAAACATTTTTAGGCAGAGAAATAAATACTGTAGTTTATTTGATTAATCGTGGTCCTTGAGTTCCTCTGAATGAGGGGTTACATAAGAAAGCCTAGAGTGGAAAGGAGGTTAGTATATCCCACCTCAAAGTTTTTATTCTTCATCCAATAATCCCGTTGATGCAGGATCTAATAGTAAGCTTAATCCAAGATCTATCAAGTGTACATTTATTGGATATGGCCCAGGTGAATTTGGTAACAAATTTTGGGACTATCAGAATCAAAAGTTCATCAAGAGCAGGGATGTTAAATTTAATAAAGTGAAATATACAAGGATAGAAATAGGACTCCTGAAGATTTTTCCAAATATGTTGAGATAGAGAATGATGATCATGAAGACAAAGTTGATGAAGCACAGAGTGTACCTCAGCCTACGGCTACTGAAAGTAGGAGATCAAGCAAAATCTCAAGGCCAGGACAAAGATATTCTCCTTCTTTATACTATCTATTATTGACATATTGTGGGCTCCAAAAATTCGGCACCAGCCTCCCTCATTTATTTTTGGGGGAATTTTAACGTATTAAGTTCAAGGATAAATTTTGAGAAGGCAGATTGGGTTTTTAGATAAGACACTATCCAGAGATTTCATCCTCATTTTGAAAGTACTTAAGAATCTGAGTTTTGGTTTCTGATATGTGCAAGCCCCTATAATTATATACCCCCACCCCAATAACGAGAGAGTACTTTCGATTAAGGCTAGTCGTCAATCAAATGTGTTGTATCTGTAGATATGTAGTATCTGGTGTATAGTAGCAACATAGGCTTAGGGTTGGAAATGTAATATTTAAAATTAGAAATTTCACCATCTTACACTTAAAGCAGATGGTGCGGGAAAAGATGATGGACCCGATCAAGATCCCATGGTTCCATTATCCCGGGCCATCGTGCTCCCTGGTCTACTTAGTCAGAGGAGATAGTCGACCCAACCTAACAGAAGGATTATTGTTGACAGCCATGGGTTGCTTCGTCCAAGGGTACCTTGTAGACTTGGGTGTGGGCTCCAAAAATTCAACCCCGACCTCCCTCGCCATTGCTCTTCTTCGGGGGAGTTTGAACAGAATTAAATTCTTTTTGTAAATTTTGGGAAGGTAGATGGGTTTGTAGATAAGACACTACCCAGAGATTTCGCCCTCGTTTTGTAAGGACTTTATGATCTGAATTCTGATTTCCTATAGGCGTAATCCCCTATAGTTAATTACCCCTCCCGATCACGAGAGAAAACTTTCAATTAAGGCTAAGTCATCAATCAGATACGTAGAGATACATGTTATCTGGCATATTGTAGCAACATGGGCATGAGAATTTGGGGATTTGAATATTTGATTGGAAATTTTAATATTTAAAATTGAAAATTACACCATCTTGCACTTAAAGCGGATGGTGGGGAAATGGATGATGGACCCGATCAAGATCCTATGATTCCCTTGTCCCGGGCCATCGTGGTCCTTGGTCTACATAGTCAGAGGAGGTAGTCAACCCAACCTGATAAAAGGATCCTTGTCGACAGCCATGGGTTGCTTCGTCAAAGGGGACCTTATAGACCTGGGGTGAGCATTTGCCTAAGGAGACAAATTTGAATCCACCTTAGCTAACAGAGAGCTTTATGCCCTATGGATCATATCCTATTGATTCATATATCAAGGATTTGATTCCATTAAGGAATGTATTGGCTTTGGCCATAACCGTTATCTCATAGCGCCTTTTGGAGACAATACCACTCGATTCAGAAGGCCCCGGGTCATGACCTTTTATATTGCGATGTCATTTGACGGCAAAACCACCGATTAGAGGACACATACCACATCCTTACTGGCAGGAGATTATTTGAGAATGGATCCTAGAAATATTTTTGACTAGACATTAGCTCCATGTGAGCTTAAGTAAATTTTAATTTGTCCACCCTGACAAACTGTTGCGAGGGTGGATGAGTTTTGCCTTAAGTGATTAGATGGTTGGATTTCAATTTTGAATATTTGGATTTTGATTATTTTTGCAATTTTTAAGATTCTTGAGTATTTAAGTGTCATTTTGAATTATTTGGAATAGACCCCTTCGGTTGAGATAAGCATTCAACATGATTATCATCGGAGTGTTTGGGGGTCATTTTCTTTTGTGGATTGAAGCTTGTCGACCTTGTCAAGTTATCGACAGAGGACCGGGTTTCATAGATTTTATGCCTTTGTAATGAATTTTCTCTGTTGGAGGCGTTGAAGGTCTTATATGAACGTTTATAATAGATATTCCAATTGACACCCTGACCGTATACCTGTTTGATAATTTCAGCTGTGGCAACTCCTATCAATTCATATAGAAGAATCAGTCTCGAACTACGTTCATTTATTGACCCGTGCAGCATCCCTAGACGTCACGTGTACCTAAGACACGCTCATCGGGTCCCATACAGGTGTTTGGGGGTGTTTTATAGTTATTTGATGAACCTTCTCGACTCCTATTTACCAATTTAGGAGGATCGGGTTCAAACTTATTGACCAGCATAGCATCCCTATACGTCACGTGTGTACCCATAACACGCTTGCTGAGGCCCATGCGGGTCTTGTGATTGTATTTACCCCTTTCGTATACCTATATGTATACAAATTATGGTGCATGTACGAGGGCATTTTTGAAATATCTTAACACCGATCAGTTGTGCGGGTGACTGCCATTTGAATGTAGCATTCTATTTGGATGCTCGTATACGGCTTCTGTCCGCTTGTAAGGATGTTGCGAATCCGGTGGCATGGCGTTGCAACTTGTAGACGTCTTCTGCCTGCTTGTATGAGTATTGCATATCTGATGGCGTGGCCTCGTATTTCAGTAGCTAGTGTTTCTTACTATTGACCCCTTGTTGTTGCTTACAAATGAATCATAACATTATTATATGGATGTCATGAGGCACCTTATTATCCTGATATTGACTCCCTTTTCTCGTTCACAAGGAGGTCTTTTAGGGCTCGTATAAGAATTAATAAGCAACTATTTATTTATGCCATCATCATTTTTTTTTGTTGGCTTAAATAAAGAATCAATCATTTCAATCTTAAATGATTGTATTCTTACTAGTGCCCTTTATTTTGAAATCAGGGGTCGCTGCCTTAAAAATACTTCTTTTCAAAGTCTTCAGTATTGTGGATTTCTACAATATGTAGCTTCCATAGTTAAGTACTTAGCCTATGAGATAAGCTGAGGTATCTGGATGCTTTTGTCGTTCCTGACTTCATTAATAAGAACGAAAATCTGATCTTGATAGAGGTATTGAAGGGATTTATATTTTCTTGAAGGAACTTTGGAACACCAGGATGCTTAGTTCGAATTTTCTCAAACATCTCCTCCATTCCTACAGAAGATGTCCTTCTCATGGGAGGATTATGTCCTAGCAGATACTTGTACTCCTTTGTTGAACAGCGTCGGCAAAGGCGGTACCATAGCACTATCAATTTGCATGATATATTTTGTTGTAATGTTAGACTTCGAAGGTCATTTGTACTTTCAAGGCCTGTAGATGTCAGAAATGCTTTCTCTCACACAAAAGGCAAAGAAGAAACTTTGGAACACCAAGAAGTTTAGTTTGAATTTGCTCAAACGTCTCCTCCATTATAACAGGAAAAAGGGTGTCCTCCTCATACAAGGGTCTTCTTCGAGGAGTCAGTTGATGCTCATGTTTGTCATATGCTCTTATAAACTTTTTTGCCCACAAGAGTTTTTTACAATGTACCTACTGTTATTATCCACAAATATAATATCAACTTTTATTGCTTGTAGACAGATCAACAAACTGCTGCAACACCACTTCAATCTGTGAACTGTTGTATTCAATACTTATCATCTTTCTGTGAACTGCTGCATCACTGCTTCAATATGCAAGTTGATTATTATTTGCATTCAGGTCTTCATCAACGCGAGTAGGAGACACCCATACATTTTATAGTCGACTGATAATGCTTGCAAGTACTACGTATTTAATGGCAATGGAAACTGTTGTAAGAGTCTCTTGCATTTGCATCATATCCACCTTCATCAATCTCAGTGGTCGTTGTACTTGATTACAGTGACAAGTCTTTTACTATCGATTGCCAGTATTGCCATCTCAATCTACAGGCACTATTGCTTGTATTGGAGATTTCAAAAATGCATATAAGAGACACCTATGCATTCTATGACTATCTTGTTGTCCTTGCATGTACGGTGCATTTAACCTCGTAGGGACTATTGTGGGAGTGTTGCCATCCGCATGCTGACACCGACCGTTGCAGGTTGTTGAATGTAGACACATCTTGAACAGTCATTTGGAGGTTTCGTGTGTACTTGTGTACACAGGGGATTTGTTGTACTAATGATATACCCACTGTTGTTATCCACAAGTGTCATATCAATGTACTTGTTCACCTACTCATTATTATCGAATGCAGGATGACATAACACCTACTAGGAGTTGCTTCCTTGTCGCCCGTAGTTTAATCATTGTAACATGACGGACTTCCTACAGTCGCTTGTAAGTGTTTTGCATTTGCCGCAAATTAACCATCCCTGTTTGCTTCAGTCAATGTTTAAAATTGTGTATTCGGGTACATTACATGCTGACAAAGACTGACAGTTCATCAATTGAAGCTATGTTTAGCTTCAGTCAATGTTTAAAATTGCGTATTCGGGTATTTAGGCGTTTTTCATTCGTGAGGCGAGGCGTAAGCCTCAAGGCGTTTTGAGGCGTAAGCCTCAAAATCAAAATATTGCGTAAACATAAAATGATAAATTTTTTATATACTAATGAGTGAATAATATAAAACATAAAAAAGCATAAGGTATGAAGTGAAATCAAAATATCTCAATAATAAGACAACATGAAAGATAGTTCAACTCAAAATTCTATCTTTTCCAAATCCTAGTATTTTTTCATTAACATATATTCCAATTTCCAAAAATAAATAACAATGACATATCACATAAGAACTCATAAGTCATCAGCACTATAATCACTAAGGGGTTCTTCATTTGAATCATCATTCTGATGAACTGCTCTCTCCCCTTCCTCCTCTCCTATAGAGTCCAATGTCGGACATTTACTTCAAGATTTATGTAAGTTTTAATATATATAGCGTGAGGCGTAAGAATCATGCCAGTGAGGCGAGGCGGGCTTCAAGGCGGGCCTCAGCCAAGTTGAGGCGAAAGCCTCATAAAAAAAACTCGAGGAGTAAGCATCGATGCGTTTTTTACTGGAATTGTGCAAAGGCGGGCCTCAAGGCGAGCCTCATATTGCACAATTTTAAACCATGGCTTCAGTTGGTCTTCATGGAGGATGAGAGCAGGGGTGAGCCACACTATCGGTATTATGATTAGTGTTACAGATCAGGAGAAGGATTGATTGCAATAAGTTCCAAGTGGAAGATTGTTATGTGTGGAATCTGATTGTGTTGATATCTGGTTATACTATTGTCTTGAACCTCAAAGCTTGTCGTGAATATTGGGGGGTGCGGGGGTTCACCCCTGTTGGGTTCAAGTGCCTATTAATTTTTTTTTCATACAATGACCCGGCGCTATGTACTCAAGCGCCCCAGCACTGAGCAGAATACCGCAACGGCCTAGATATGGCGCCGTGGAGATTTTAGACAGAGGCTTGAGTGTCAAAGTGCTTCAAACTAGTGACACAGTGTTGCGAGATGAACTTGACGATTTTATTTCTCGTTTTCTGAAGAGTTGCATACCTCGAAGTTATTTTATTTGGCTTACTCTTGTATATTCAGTTAGGGCAAATGTAAGAACACTACATATGAGAAGAGAAGCAAGAAGAGTGAGAGATAAGAGAGCTGTGATGCACCGACACTTCTCCTTAAAGAAGCGTGCAGTGTCTGACACCGTATCCGACACGACACTCGTTCAACACTCCGACACATGTCGGACATGCCGAAAACGTGTCCAATTAAAAAATATTAAATATAAATTGGGCACACCTGTCCGACACACGTATCTTAAATATTTTACGATTGTTTTTTAAATATAATTTCTTGTATTTGGCGGGATTTAAACTAAATTTCTTATTTCCTATCCACAACACCAAATCAACGTTCGCACTTAATACCCAATCATCGAATATTCTCATTTTCATTTCTTTTTGGCAGTGAAGGTATTTTCATCTCCTCTCTCGGTGACTGATAAATGACATCGACGTCTAACTCTTGACATCCTAATACTAATCATTTTAAGCACAAATTCTAGTTAAATGACTTATTATTTCCAAATCATTTTTAAAATTATACTTATTTAATTTTTATACACTACTTTTTAAATATAAAAACTATAATACCGTGTCCAACCCGTGTCCGTATCATATATTTTCAATAACTAACGTGTCCCGTGTCCATGTCCGTGTCGTGTCATATCTGTGTCGTCGTATTCGTGTCCGTGCATCATATTAAGAGAGATTTGTACTTATTTCTCCCAATATTTATAGTGGATTTCTTGGTGTGGCTCCATGATTTTTTCCTAATTTGGATTTTTTCATGTTAAATCCTGATTTCCATTTTCGTAGCTTTTATTTTCTTGTTTATTTCGTCATTGTGTTGTTTACTCCTCATCTTACCCAAACACGCTTTTCCTTATCGTCATTTCTTCATGGTTGCTTCGGCTTCACGTGATGTTCGTGCTTTGCATGATGGGAGCTCGCTTGATATTTCGCCTCCTTCGAAGGCCTCAAATAAGAAGTTACGATAAGATCTAGTTTGCTTGCAAACTCGTAAATCCCATTGTCTATAAATTCTTAAATTCATAGAACCATGGGATTTACTAAATCTAGAATTTATGCCGGAAATTCGTAAATTTAGGATTTACCGATGATTGGGATTTACGGAGCGCTCGAAAAACATTTGGGGGAATATATTAATCCGGCGTAAATCCAAGCATAAATCCAATACCAAACAGCCCCTTAGTGAAAAAGTTGGCCTTTGGTCTCTCAAGTGCTTTGCAAGGGATTCACCTCTTGGAGTCTTCTTATCGGGTTGCTCTTTGATTCTCTAGTCTTCTACCCCTTGAGCTAATCTTTTCATTGTATCTTCCGAGAGGGCCTCCCTTCCGCTTGCTTCTAGCAAAGGATCGAGGAATTACCTCGCTTTCCCATTTCCACTTGTTGGCTTAAAAATTATCTATAAAAAATCTCCACAAGCCTCAACAAAACCTCATTGCGAGCACCTTCTCTCAACTAGATCTCTTGTTGCTCCCTATTGCCTCTTTGGATCTCCTGGGTTCAAACCTTCTCCTCTTTAATCCACTTTTGTGGGAGTTTTGCCTTCCATTTTGGGACTCAATCCAACTTCTCTGCTAGCATTGGCTTCATCAAAAAATTAGAAAACACTCCATTACAAATAGCTCCCTTTTGAAAAATTTAATATGGATTTTGTGGATGGAGTAGAAGACGAAGTCATATTCTTTCAAGATGAACTTATTATTGGAGTGTAGGATAAGGAGCTTTCTTTGATTGGGTATGCTGTTTGTGAATGCCTCTTCCATAATTCCTAATTTTATTTTATTAAAAAAGCTCAGAAACTTAAACGTAACCTTAAGCCTCATACACTTAATAAAGATTTTTTTTTTCATCTTCCACTTTTCTTTGCTCGGAAGACCATGAAATGGTATAAACATGGATACCTTGGTTTTGTCAAGGGCAGGCCTTTCATATTTAAAAAAAGCACTCCTACTTTTAAGCCTACCAAAGAAGCTCTCTCTTTGAATTTTATATATAAATAATTTTTCAG